GGTCTAATGTTTTGGGGCATGCTTGAAGGGTTGGGGTTTGTGGAGATTTTATATGAATGTAATAATTTTTCATATAGTAGAATATATGTGTCTTTGACAATCCATTATTTTTCTACGATTTTGAATTTTTTCAAGTAAATTGTTATTATTATTCCGCATCTATTCTATGTTTCCTAGTTTACAAATAAATTCTGTGGACAATGATCATATGGATAAATTGAGGAATTAGTCTCGATTTTCAATAATAAATAAATTATTTCTGACATATGAGCAACATAAATAATTTCTACCTGTGATCGGACGAGCACTTATAATGCATGCGAGCATATTAAGATCACATATTCTCTCTCCAATAATCAGGCAAGACAAAATAAATAAATAGACACTTACAATAGATCAAGTAAATGTATGTGTATAGGATGATGATGCAAGATAAAAATAACTCACTGTTAGCAAACGGAACGAGTAAGGGTTCATTTGGTTTGTGTTTCGATTTTCAATTTTTATTTTTGAGTTCATTTTCAGTTTTCTATTTTGAGGGCTTGTTTTAACATTTTTAAAACTGCGTTTGATTTGTCATTTTAAAAAAATTATTTCTCCAAACAAAAAACTAGAAAACATGTTTGCTTTAAAATTTTGAAAATTTATTTATTAAAATTTATTCCATTAAATTTGATTATTAAGTTGAAAAAAATGAAACATTTTAGTCAATATATTATCAAGTATTTAAAGTTGATAATTCTTATAATATTTTTTTCATTAAAAAATTAAAATAAAAAATAATGAATCAATTTCAAAATATAGGAAATAAAAATAAAAACTAACGTGTGGACTCAAAATATTTTTGTTTTTGTTCATTTAAATATTTTTTAAAATTCTATGTAAATAATCATTAAGAGCTATAACTATTTTTATTTTTATTTTTTTTCACAATTTTTAATTTTTTAGAATTTTAGAATTTATTTTTTGGAATTTATCAATTTTATTTTTTATAGCTTTCATAAGTTTATTTGCTAGAATTTTATATTTTTATCTTTTATCATTTTATTTAAACATATATTTTCTATGTTTTGAGTGTTTTCAAAATTTTCACTGAAAACACCCAAAACTTCAAAGATGCGCTTTGAGTTTTATGTTATAAATTTATCATTTTTTTCGAAAATGTGTTTCAAAAAATAACAGATCGAACACGTTTTCAGTGTTTTGAAAAACTGAAAATGACTTAAAAAATGAAAACCAAACGCATCCTAAATTTTTTATTTTATTTATACCCATCTCTAAATTTTAAAAATTTCTTGAATAGAGGTAGATCAATGAGTGTTGGGTACCGATAACTCATATTCGACTTGTCTTAGTGTCTTGAAAAATTCATGTTGGGAGTAAACGTATAAGAGCGCTTTGTTTCACGACAAATTTATCATCAAATATCGAGTTGTGACACGTTTTATAAAACTTGTACCAAAATTTTCCAAGTTTTGAAATCCAATTTTAAGTTGTTTTGAGTACTGGTTTTCAAAAATTCGCACAAGTTAGTTCGGGACAAATCTGGATAGGGGCTTATAAAACGATGCCTCAAAAGCGGAACTACTGGAGACCTGAAGGCCCCTATAGAACTTCTAATTCCAAACTCCAAACGGGATTTGAATATGGGAAAAAATTTGCAAGCAACCTCCTTCCCCGAACTATAAAATATCATTCAGTTATCTCATCATGTGTTTTTTATATCATTGCAATCCTCTCCTAGGATGCTAAAATCATCCCCAAAAATCAAAATTCATCATCAAGTCACAAAGTTGAAACTTAGGGCTATATGAATGTATTATCTGGTAAGGGGCAGATTTAGCAGTCTTTACTCAAAAATTTAAAATGAAATTAGATATCAACTTGTTAAACATAACGTATTTACTTTTCACTATTTGCAATTTAGTCAATAAGCTCGTAAAATCCACCTTTTATTAAGATATTCATTAAAACATTCTCTAGACTTCAAATTACGGTTCCTAAACCTTTTTTCTCATAATTTTCACTTCAATCCTTGAACTTTCTAAAAATTGCTAAAGTTCCCCCAAACTCGACTTTTCTCTAATAATAATTTCTAAATATTTTTATTTGTTCTCAAAATATCATTCTCCCATATAGTGGGAAAGTTTCTTCATATATATATGTATATATTTTTATTAAAAAAAAAAAACTCGCACATATCCATATATCTAATTCGATAAAATTTCAAAGTATTACGAAGAGGCTTGTAAAATCAAAAGAGAAAAAAATGGGGCCTGGTTGTGGCTTTTGTGGGCTAGAAAATGGCCATATTTTGAATCTTGTAGCGATAGTTTGTGGGTGGGAATGAATTTGCTGTTAATTTTTCCAAGGCGCACCTTCTTCTACGTAATAGATTTGCTTCCAAATCGGAGTTGGTAGGGGAAGGAATTGGCTTATGGCGTGGCGATGATGGTCGTTTAACCAAAAAACTGACTCTTTAACAGTAAAATTATTAGTTTTCATCAGAAAAGGATGCTCTAATAAAAGGCATTGCACTATTTCAGGAAGAAAGAATTAAGAGTGTAGAAAGAAGCGGCTTGCATTGGTAATTATGACACTAAAATCGGTATTTGAGCAGTGCTACCTACACTAGAGTAGAGAGAAGAAATAGTAGGAAGAAGTGTTTGGTGTTGATAACGTCACTGTCTAAGCGAAATAGCTATCTACAAGTGAAATGAAAAAAAAAAAATTATGTGTCATCGTTACTAAGTCAATATAAAAACAAGTGTATCAAATAGAAGATGCATTATTTTTTCAGTTAAATCTTTGACATCTAATTTGGGGGTCTAAATTTCTAGTGAGATTGGTTGGCCTAATTGAAGCTAGAAGGTTGAGGCACTTGAATCTTCGGACAATCATCACTAATCAAGATAGTTATTTTCATCGGTTAAACTCTGCCAAACTTGAGCGACGGAGAAAACAGTGTTGTGAAATTAACCTTAAAATAAGCATCATGATTAAAGATTGACTAACAAATCATGGTTAATTAATTTGATTATTGTGACGAACGATGTAACTGCGTTGTGAACCTTTAATTTCAATTTTCAAGATTCTTGATTTTAATTCTTTCATGTGTTGATTTTACTTCAATTCAATATTGTCTTTGAAATAATTGGCTACTATTTCATCATATTATAAAATAGAGAGGTAAGTTATGGATTTATCCCACGTAGTAAAATTTACAATTTGGATAAAAGGTAGATATACATTTTTATAATTATTGCGATCATTAATTGAATTCTTTAATGATTTGATGCATTTTATTGAGATTCATTCGGACTCATATAGATATATAGTGAGCTGATTTGGCTAGATATGATAAATTCGAATGCGAGAGAGGTAATTAGATTCATTAACAAATTCGACCAAATACAACGTTAGGAATGAAAATTGAGAGGCAAAACTAAAGGACATTACTATGGTGAAATCACGAGTCCTAATACTTCTAACATATATGTTAAAAACCTTAATTTTTAATTGTGCATTTTTAGTAGCTTTCCTATATTTATAATTTAATACTTAGGGCTATAATTAAAATCAATTGTTTTTGCATGAAATTAAAGTTTGTAATAGTTAAATCGTACATAGTTAGATAAATAGTCCATGTACGGATGATAATCCAAACTCTTAAATCCACTTTATTACTTGTTCATCGTATACTTGCAATACAAAATATTAGCAAGATTAATATCACAAGTCAAAGAACATGAGGTTTTCATATATTCAACTCGTGGAGATGTTCTTTAAAAAAAAATAAAAAAAATCTTGAAAGCGATATGATTCTATGTAGCAAGAAAAAGAAAGCAATGCAATTCTTTATTCCAAAAAAGAAAGCAATTTGACTCTATAATTAAAAAAAAAAAAAATGGAAAAGCAATTTGATTCTTTACTGGAATTCACATCAGAACTCAGAATTCTCTATTTCAACAACTCAAAAGGACCAATATAGCTCAATAAGATGTGTGGATAATTAATTTCATCTAAAGATTAGGTCATCTATTCAAATTTCATCAAAGGGGTCCAATCAATTATGGGTTGTTCTCTTTGTGTTTCAATTTTGTGTTTTGAATTCATTTTGGATTTTGTGTTTTGAGTGTTCATTTTGAGATTGTTGAAAATGTGTTCTTTTTGGAATTTTGAAAAATTGTTTTGAAAACACTCAAAACGCGTTTTGAAATTTTGACTTGAATATAACTGAAAACACCAAAAACAACAAATTTGTTGTTTTGTGTTTTCTTTGTAAATTTTTAACTTGTTTTCAAAAATACGTTTTCGAAAATAGGAAAGAGAACGCGCTTTCACTGTTTTGAAAAATCGAAAACTGAAAACGACTTGAAAATGGTAAAAAGAAGAGACCCTAATATTTTCTGGGCTTCGAAGGGACATCAACATAGATTTGTTCTTAAATTATCATGCCAGGATTACTAGTTGTTCTCAAGTTTCTCCAATTTTTGTTCTGACCTTAAACGCCGGTAATCCACAATGACCACGATGCTATTCATAAATGTGTATTGAATTTAAACAGTTTAAAATCAAAGATCCAGCTCCTTTTTATCACCTTGTTCGGTTGTCACCACCTTCCTGTAGCGCATCTATCTTAACATCCTCATTTCTTCCATTTACATGTTACCAACATTTTCTTTAATAGATTCAAGCCCACTATGATTAAATCTTGGAAATCTTATTCATCAATAAACTTGTACAGAGAAAAGGTAAACAACAAGTATCAATGATGTACTTTGTGCCATTAGCTAATTAGAACTGAATTGAATAAACCAATCAGCTAATACAAAGAATATAGTTCTCAAGGTTTTCATCCCAGCTTTTAAACAACCTCATGGCTTTGGCATGGCTAAATATTGACTAAGCTATAATGCTGCAGAATCTGCTTAGTTAACTGGAGATTTCTAGCTATTTGTACAACAAAACTTCCATTCTGTTTTACAAAGTTTCATTTTTCAAGCCACCAAATTGGATGCTCCAACCAGGTTACCATCGATTCGTGCATCTAACTTCAAGCTTCTTGCAACGTCGAAAAAATGAGCAACAGCTTCCTCGGGTGTACCAACAAGAACCCCATGGCCGAGATTGAGGATGTGGCCTTTTGGGCCTGCACATTGTACAACCCTGCAACACAAATATCATCAGCTCAACTATCAGTATTTGGAAAATCGACATTGAAGGAAACAATTGGCTTCGTATTTTGTCTAATCATCCCATTTGTGTAATGCAAATCCAATTGCTATTTTAATGACTCCTAGAATAAATGGTTGATTTAAATTAGGTGCCAACCCCACTCTGGCTACGATAATATTTTTCATATTCAGGTTATAAGTTTTTACATTATAAGCACTCAAATAGGCAAATACCTAGCTAATGACTTGAGAAGTAACACATTCCTTGATCCCCCCCTTCCTACAACATATGCACATTTGGGCGGGACCCTGCTACCGAATAAGAAATGAATATTGAAATATATATGTCATATTAGACCTTTCTTCAATTTCTTCTGATTCATTGACCCCTACTATAATGTTAAATGCTACAAATAATGAACAGAAGAAAAGGCATAAGATTGACTGACAAACCTTTTAATTTCATCCTCCAAGGCAGTAAGAGGAGAAAATAGGTAAGCAGGGTCGACATTTCCTTGGATACTGATATCACTTCCCAGGCGCTTCCTTCCATCTGCCATATCCACTGTCCAGTCAAGCCCAATCACATCAACACCAGTTCCCTTCATCCGTTCAAGTAGTCCACCATTTCCATTAATGTAGAGCACAATTGGCATTTGGGGACATTTGTTTTTAACCACACTTACTATCTGCACTCACAAACTAGGAGGTGTTCAAAAAGGAAAAGATGGAACTTCGAGATTGCATGCAACAACAGATAAAGATAACAGCTTCCACACCAAATGTGTTCCAGCTATATTTAAATGTCCCATAAGGAAACCAGATAATTTGAAAAAAAATATACAATAATGAAGAAGATGATGATCACAATGATGGCAAAAGCATAGAACTCACTTTGAGGTATCCCCCACTTTAAGATTCTATAGACATCCTATATCGAGCAACTAATCTGTTAACTCTTATATATGGCTTGTTGATTCAGTAAAACTTAGCAGACCTTAGAATCTAGCCCACGTTTTCTGAGTGAAAAAGACAGAATTCTCCATATGACCAAACTGCAAGAAGAATGAAGCACACAAATCTTCATGTGTGCAAGTGATTAAATACAAACAAAATATCAGTATCAGCCAAGCTTCTCAAATTTAGAGCAACACGCAAATTATGGGCAGCAAGACAGTGAACTTTCCCATTGAGCTCCCCAATTCCACCAACTTTTCACCAGGGTTTCCCAAAGAATTGAGGAAAGGGAGAAGTGTGAAAATTCGAACACGGGTTTGGGACAAAAAATATTTACCCAGAAAAAACAAAGTAAATTTGAGTAACCTCATTATATGGGGTTGGGAAATAAAATAGTTACCCAGAAAAACAATGTGAATCTGAGTTACCTCATCAATGTATGGCTTAGACCACCGTTCCCACATATCTGGTGGCAATTGTCCACCCCATGAATCAAAAATTTGTATGCAATGAGCTCCAGCATCCACTTGGAAAATGATATATTCAGATATCGCCTTTGCCAAATGAGACAAAAGAGCCCTTAATACATGTGGTGCTGTATGGCACATGCTCTTTATTGTTGTGTATGTACGTGTTGTTCCCCCCTCTACTATGTATGTAGCAATCGTCCAGGGAGCACCCACAAAACCCAGAACTGCTGCTTGATCACCGACCTGATATAGAAAGAATTAAAAAAAGTTGTTCAAATATAAAAGTGAAATTTAGACTGCCAGTATGCACCAACACCCTCCCACGCACCCAGTGAATCGGTGTCCAACACAGGTTGGAAGCACCAGGTAGGGTGTCCAAATTATTTTTTCTACATTTTGACACGTCGCCGACACATTTCTGACATGCTGAGAAATACATTGCCGCCACACCGGGAGATTTATTGTCAACACATTGTCGATACATTAACATGTCAGAATTAACAAAAACAAATTTACTTTACAATATAAGAAATAAAATATGAAAAAATTAATATTACTTTAATCACTGTGTCAGGGACGTGTCATATTGTTAATTTTTTGAAAAATTGCAAGTTGGCGTGCCCATGCCATGTCGTATCCAACACTCATGTTTGTGTTGGTGCTACCTAGCTACACTGTGCTAAAGAAAACTAGTGTGAAGATACTAGCATGAATTATCTTTTAAAAAGCAGGTGGTAAGAACTATGGAAGTACCTCTTTCCGCAATATCCTAAGAGATTCTCCAACAAATTGTAGTTTCTCAAAGTCAATTGGGTGCAAAGTTTTCAAGTCCTCCTCAGAGCGAATGGGAGACTGAATTACTGGACCACGCACCTCTTCTATGTCAAACGGCACGCCAAAAGCAGGTAGTGGAGTAAGTATATCAGAGAAAATAATAACTCCATCAGGTCGGAAAGCTTCCCAAGGCTGCAAAGAAATTTCCACAATAAGATCGGTTGTCTCTGACCTCTCCCGGAAGGATGGGTATTTCTCTGCAAGCTTTCTATAAGTAGCCATATACCTTCCTGCTTGACGCATCATCCAGGCTGGAGGTCGGTTAACTCGATCGCCTCTTGCAGCCTTGACCAAAAGTGGATCTGAACACCACAAAATCCATATGAGTAGATGAAATGAGAAACCTTCAACTCTGGAAACCAAACTTGATTTCCAAAATTGTAAATCATGCAGTTGGTAACAACTTAAATGCTAGATGAGGAAAGGTTCAAATGATGACAGCTCCAAGTCAACCAGATTTCAGTTGAGGATAATAATATCAATTACATTAATTTAAGCCCTACCCCAGGTCCCCAATTTTCTTTTCTTGCAAGCGAGGAAGAGTCTCCTTAGTTGATTTTTTGAAACTCATTTTAATCAATCAAATAAACCGTGCAAATGAGAGTATCATCCTTAAATTGACCCTCTATTCAGTGTCGTTCAGCTTTGCACTGGATGCATAGTATATCAGTCTGAGTGTGACGAGAAATGAAATTCATCAATGACAAGTGTTTTTCAGTTCAGCCTCTAAAGTTATCAGCCTATGCTTACAAAATTTTTATTAATTGAGGTTCTGCTGTCATGTCCAAAAATCAAATAGAGAAATTTTCTATCATGATAGCTTAAAATGATGTTTTGCAGAACCCAGAAATGGCACTTATCAAAGACCGTGATAAAAGCAAACTTAAAACAAAAGAAAAAGAAATGTGAAGAGCAATGATTAAAGAAATAATCTTAATGAATGGACAAGGTGATTTAGTGATATAGAGTTCCCTTTCCTTACTCTCTAAATCTTACATATCATGACCTGTATACAGTCAACTCAACAAGGCCATATGTATCTAGATCAAGGGTAGGGGTACATACTGATCATTTTCTTATAGGTTATTCCATCAGAGCCATTTCTATAGTTAAAAGGGGAAGAATTTTTTATTATATTATCAAATGAAATTTCTTCAAAGTAATTATAGTAGAAGACTAGAAGTTATCACTACTCTTTACCGCCAGTTACTTCCCTCACAAATGTTTCAACACATCTTACAAAAAAAAGAAAAAGCAAGCAACTAAAATTCCCTTATGATTCCAAGTTCCACAAGGAGCCCTAAAGTCAAAACTAACATGGGGGTTTTTTTTTTTTTTTCAAAGGCCCTTTTCAAGCCTCGTATTGATTTTTTTTGTTAAAAGAGGTCCTTTTGTTACTTAACGAAGTGCAAAATGTGAATTATACCCTCATTAAAGAATGCCTAATCGACCAACTCAACCCTCTACATAACCAGGTCGAGTTGACGTGATATTTACTGTGCTTCCCTCCCTCTTCTCATTCTCTTTGTCTACGTATACACATAAAAAAACTCACAGATCCAACTCCAAGCATATGTTTCTTGTCTCCACTCTTCTACTAAAGCAGGATATGCTCGAAAGGAAAAAATAAAAGAGAAGTACAAGAAACAACAGTGACCATGTTCTTTCAATTCTGTCTTCCCTTGCAAAGATGGAGAATTTTCACACTACAAACAAATAAAGGCAACTAAGAAACAAAGCATTAATGAAGTATAGGAGTGAAGATTCTCTACCTCTAACGCATAAGCGCAATTTTGGTATCTTGAAAAGTATTCAAATTTCTAAACAACAAAACACGTATATTCCAATGTGCATCAATGGTCCAACTATATACTTTATAAATGTTCACACATTCTGTAGTTTCAAACAGCATCCATCTCAGCAATGTAAACGATTATGAAATCAATATTCCTAAGTCCCAGCCCTAAATATCTAAATATAAACGTTATTCACTAAAAAGCAATAAATATACCTGAAGGAGAAGCACATGCGCGAGGGAAATTAAACTTATGGGATTTGGGAGTCAACAGAAGCCCATTAGAATTAGTGTTGGGAAGCAAATCCAGGCTCAAAAACAAGCTCGACGATTTCAAACCCAACCCCAAATTGCAATAACTGCAGCACGCACTGTTGAACACCAAATGCAAGTCAATAGCAAGAATTATACTCACTTAACAAACAATTCATACACATATACACAGAGAGCTAACCTGGTCAATAAGGAGAAGCCCATTTTGGGTAGGGGACGAGATTTTGTGATTCGTTCTCTCTATGTTTCTTCACCCTTCTCTTCTTATCTCTCAGTTTCTGGCGAGTGAGTCAAAATACAGTCAAAATACTACTGTCAACACTATTTCTCAGCAACTATTTACAGCGTTGTCAGAATTTAGTTGGGCCTTGTCTGGGTCAAAGCCCACCTATTGGCCCATTTTAGATTAACTATGGGCCAAACTTTGGGTTTGTTTAAGGGAAATTATGAAAAATAAGGTGTTTAAAGTTCACAGTGTAAAAGTCAAGTGCTAAAGTTTTTTAGTCATAATTCAAGCATTAGGTTAATAATTTTATATTTTAATAAATATATTAATATTAAAAATTTTAAACCCTAATTTTTCATTTTTCCCCTT